CAAAATTTGAGCTAGGTAGAAGACTACATGCTTCATGTACGAGATTAGGCGTTAAATCCTTATTCTTTCCGCCGACAGCAAGCCGAATGGGATCATTCCTGCACTACTAAGGACGCGTCTTCCGATAGCGTACGGAAGCAGGCCTGCATCTTAGGCTGTTTTTTGTGCCAGCATTCAGCAGACAGACATTAAGCAAAACGAGCGTGTCTAGCAGGAAGATTCCTTTTGGTAACATTCTGCTACTGCTCCATTCTGTAGGCCATTAGAGTCGCCGGCGACTATCGCTGGAGATTTGCCGTGCGCATCAAAAGCGATGTCTGCTAGGATGGCTGCTTACCGTGCCAGAAGGATGATTGGTGGTATGGTATTCTAAACTCCAAACTCTTTACGTGCAGACACGGTGTCTGTTCACAGCTCCATAGTATGCCTCAAGCGCCCCACTCCTCTATATTTGCATGACTCGCTTTCACAGGCTATATATGCAATAATATCATTGGCTGCTCTGCAGTAACGGCACTGTCAAGTGTGTAAGATGTAAAAACCTTTTGAGCTTTTCCAAAATACAGTTCAGAAAATTGACTGAGAAGCTGAGGCACTATTAAGCCATAAGAAAACTAAACTCCACATGACATCATAGAAAGAAATCTTAGGAAAATTTTAAGATAGATTCTGACTTTATTATGTTAAGGTCGCTGAGTAGCGAACTTTTTGTGATGATAGGATTTAAAGTGCAGTTAGGATCTGTAAGTGATGAGGACAGTTCTAATTTGTTAAACCTAGAGTTAGAAGTTTGGATAATAGGAACGATCGGTCGAAAATTACGTTTTTGTAAGAAAAAAACATTTTGTTTATCAAGATATCTTGACCAAACTCGGCATTTATTAGTTTTACTAAACTCCTTATATATATGCAAAATCCTATTAAGATCGGATCACTATATCATATAGCTGCCATAGGAACGATCGGTCGAACATTAAGTTTTTGTATGAAAAAACATTTTGTTTATAAAGATATCTCGACCAAACTCGGCATTTATTAGTTATACTATGCTCTTCATATATATGCAAAATCCTATTAAGATCGGACTACTATATCATATATCTGCCATAGGAACGATCAGTCGAAAACTAGGTTTTTGATTAAAAACCTTTTTTGTTTATCAAGATATCTTGACCAAACTCGGCATTAACTCTTTTCCCTGTGCTTCTTAGATACGGTTTTCTCGTTTTATGAATAGCTTGGGCTTTGGTATATACATACTTACATTAGTTTAGGTCTGATAATTTCATGGAGATAGGACAGCAAACTTCAATGCGAAGATAGCAGGGTTAACAGCGCAGCAAAGTGTGTTCGGTTTTTGTGTGCTATGTAGTTGGCTTACGCATAATTAAATATAATCAACCGAACACATTCTGTTTTTAAATAAAACGGCTTATTTGTTTTAACTGACCAAATGGTAATCAACACACTGGAGCGATAAAAACAATAATCCTCCGTCATTGTAGATTTTTCCTTTCTTAAGCTTAATTAATGCAGATATTTGCAGCGCTTTAAGTAAATGTATCTTTCGAATTTCGAGATCGGTCTGAAGGAGATTTGTCAGGCTTTGAGCCGAGCAATAAGACAGGTGTCTTTTCGGAGTGATAAAAGCTTCCCAAAAATGTCTTTAATACGTTATTCCGTGATTTACAAGTTCTAACCGAAGGAAAGGGAGCGTCTTTTTATTGATTTCCTTCGTAACCTGTATATACTTGATACTTCCTTGTTAATCCTTAAGTTTGGTTATTTACAATTTGAATAATTCTTTAGCCCGATACTGGCCTCCATGTAATCTGCTTACTCTATTACCCAGCGCTGACGCTCTTAAAATGTATATTCATATATAGAGTAAATAATCTGGGGCGCAACATCCTAAGTATACATGTCGCAACAAATTTAATCCTGTTAGCTGATACCGTACTTGACGTATTTGTTGCATTTCAGTGGAGGTCCCTTGAGACTTTGAGTCTTCTTTCATTTGCCTGAGTATTTATTGGTGGTTAACATTCTGTGGTTGGAGCTTATGTATATTGATTTCCTTTTCAGTTGTGTCTATCATAACTACTTTTATTTGCGGTATACTTATCGCTTTTCTTTCATCCTTCATGATTGTAGAGCCGTCATTGATCTTCACAGTACAGTACTTGGATTCCTTGATCGAAATTTTTTAGCCACAATCGGAATAGATTTTATTTTAGGTGGGTTGAAAATTAATGAGAAAGGTGTCAACTCAAAAATTCTCACGTACTCGCAAAAGAGATATATCTACAAGGGTATTTAATCGTCGGCGTGAATAGCATATCCTAACTTTATTCTTTGTATTACAATTACTTCTTCTTAGTTTCAGAATATCTGAGGCATCGCAAATATTTACCTTTCGTATCTTGTGACATGATGTGTTGGTTTGTATTATGCTATTGTTAACATATTTCGTTTGTTAATTGCTATCCTTCATTAATCTGTTTGGAAATCTCTGTGAAATTTATCATTACTTCATTATTGAAATCTTCTTTTAGTTGTATATTATTAGTATACTTATAGTTTTGTACTTTAATCTTTCAATCTCGTTGTATATTGTATTGCTATCTTGAGCGTCCATATTTTCAGATATTATAGTATTTAGATAGTACCTCTTTTCTGTCTTTTCACCCATATGGGGCTTCTTATTCTTGTATTTGTATATTAATTCTGTAAATTTCTTTCAAGCTTGAGTGTAGTCTTTTTACAGGCAAATTGTTGAAATGAGGTTATATGAAGCTGTATTTTATACTGCTTTCAAAAATCTTTGTAAACGTTAGAAAAGTATTCCGTTCCTTGGTCGCAGACAATTTTTAGAGGTAATCAAAATAATTGGATGCAATTTTGTTTTGCTCTCACAGCGTTGGTACTATACCATATTGGTATTGTGAACCTCGTTGCGAAGCTTTATTTGCACAAGCTTTATTTGGTTTTAGTTACCTTTTAATATTTTAATAATGTTCTCTTCGTTAAACTGAGGTTCCTTATTGTTACGATTTATCATGTTTGGGCATTGCTCTTGAAATATTTGACACAGTGCCCACTGAAAATATCAGTTGGAATTATGGTCATTTACCGGATTCTGAAACATGTTTAAGTGTTCGTTTAATTCTTGTGCATTAGAGTGTGCGGTATCTCCTGATTAACCAATTACCGACTCGTTGGAGTAGTTCATTACAAAGTAATATTTATGTTTTTTTTCTATAATTATGTGATTTTTTCCCCTATTGTACTTTCTGTAATATCCCAATAATCCTAAAAAGGCAGGAAGGAAAATCAATGTTTTGTGAAGCTATTTCTGTTTGATGCTAGACCCTAGCTAAATCTAATATAGAGAAATAATTGGCTCTTTCTATTTGTCAAGTACATCGTTTATATTAGGAACTGAGAATTTGGTTTTATAGTTTATTTATGTAGAATTATCTATAATGGAATAATCAATCAGAGGGCACTTAGAGTAAACCAAAGCAGTTTCATGTTACTGTTTTATCACACAAAGCATATGGCTCGCTTACCTTCTTGCTTTCTGAGCAAGTGGGCGAGTGTCGGACCTGAACAAAAATGAAGTAGTCGGGGACCGGAACTAACGAAAATAAATGTATTTGTTTTCAATCAATACTATTTGTTTTCTCTGTTGGTCCGTCGGTTTTCTCGGGTTTGAGGATTTTGTCTTTTCTGATATGTTATGATTACGTCTGAATTCTTGGTAGTATGTGTCTTTCCTGAATAGCTTCATTATATGCCTCTTTAAAAGACGTTGCTCTCAAAAAAGGTCCTAGGGACTCCTATTACAAATGTTTTTAAGCATTTTTTCACATGGGAGTATGGCCATTCCTCAAATTAATTTTCTACGTTTATAATAAATTCATTAAGTAATTTTAATATATATGTCGAAAGGCGGCAGATATTGTATTGCGTCTGGATTCCACAGAGATGCGAAGAGATCTTGGGTTTAACCACCGCTTGTTGATGTGGGGGTGCTGTCCCCGTGTTCGATAGTTTTTAGGATGGTTCGGAAATGTGGGATATTTTATCACTGATTCTTGCTCTATTTGTGGTTAGAGTTTGTTTAACTTTCTCTAACTTATAAATTATTGGTTATTAATTTTTATACCCTGAACCCATTAAAAATGGTTATAAGGGTATATTGTATTTGTGCGAAAGCCAAATGTATGTAACAGGCAGAAGGAAGCATCTCCGAGCCCATAAAGTATATATATTCTTGATCAGCATAAATAGCCGAGTCGATCAGCCATGTCCGTCATTTTGTCCGTCCGTCCGTATGTATGAACGCAAGGATCTCAGAACCTATAAGAGCTAGAGACTGGAAATTTTAGATGTAGATGCTCCTAGTTCCCGCGCAGATCCGCGCAGATTTGTTTCCGATAATCGATAACTTACTACGTTTCCTAGGAACTCGATATCGATATCCTGTTTTTTGGGCAATTTTGCTAATAATAAGAGCTAGAATATATATATGCATTTGATATTGGAAGAAGAGGGTTCAGGGTATCCCTTAGTCGGGAGCTCCCGACTACAACCTCTTACTTGTTATATTTTTCTTTACATTGTTGTTTTTTTTTTCTTGCCTTGGATCTTGCGACCATGAAATGATCCTACCACATTTTCCTTATGTTTGGTTTTCTACAATTAGAATGATTTTTATTTCGATACGGGGTAACTATTATATAGTGCTGAGGCTGAATGAATATTGAATACTGAATGATTACTGAATATTGCCTAATTTGAGGCAGGGTTTTATGTATACATTCAATACTGTTAGCTTATACCGTGGAGTTCGGTGTGGTAACATTGAAAGGAGCTGGAATGTTTGTATTGTCAGCTTGACGCGAGGATCCGCTTGTCAGCCACTGCCAACCAGAGCACTCTTACTTGTTTATTTAATTATTTGTTATACCCTGTACTTCATTTTATTATTTCAGGAACTTTCAGCAAAGCTAGACGACGATAAATCGCTATCTGAGCACTTGAAACTCCCTCTTCAGAGAATCAACGACTACAAACTCCTGTTTAAGGTTTGCATATATTTATTTGAAATATATTTGTTATATTCTATATCATGCACGTGTATTCATAACACGATTGATTATTTATTATGTTTATCTAATAATCTTTTAATATACTGACTGGCTTTAATTTTTATCCACAGGACCTAATTAAATTATCTGAATGCTTTAAAGAGAATGTTAGGGACCTAGAAAGAGCTTTAGAACTAATGCTAACCGTGCCAAGTAGAGCATATGATAATGTATTGATTTCAAGCATTGAGGGATATAGAGGTAACATTTATAAGTTGGGCAGGCTATTGTTGCATGAGTCTTGCTTAGTTACCGATAAGGATGGTAAATCACATGATCGATATTGTTTTTTATTTAAATCAAGACTTTTAATAACAAAGGCTCGAAAAATATCAGAAAAAAAGTCGATATTTATTTTGCAAAATATTATAAAGCTTCCTTTATGCGATATTAAGAACATATTAGAGGAAAAGCAAATCTATCTCTCATTAAAAACTGAAGACGAAAAATCAAATATTAATATTTTTATAAAGCCTCATAATGAGGAAAATCATCTAACTTGGTACAATGAAATCAAGTCATATATTGACCACGAAGTGACTCTGCAAGAACACAACGCAGATGATCTTAAAGTCGATCCTACAAATATATCTAGTGAAAGTGAATTAATTCTTCGGCTTCCCCAAAAAGTTGAAGCTTGTAATCCAAATTTAGGCATACGTCCATCTGATGTAGCCGACAACTACTTTTTAAGTAAGGAAACAAAAGAACGTCTTCAGCTTGAACAACAAGAGCTAAAAAAAATTGAGCAAGAAGCAATTGAATTATTTAGAAGCCAACAGAACCAACAAAATATTGGATATCAAAAGGTCCAAATACCTGAATTAAAAGATCATTTTCATACTGAGTTTGTTTTAGAAAGTTGCTCATATGCAAAGTTGCAAGACAGTACAGATCAAAATAATGCAAAAGAAATTAAGAATATTGCGTTAGATGATGAAAAGTTTCAGGGTCATTTAGAACTTGAATCTAATAAAAACTCTATAAAGCTTATTGACAATGCAACTGTGATTAAAGAGTGTGCCTTAGATGTTCAACACACTGAGTCTACAACTGTAGTTGATGATAAAAAACGCCAAGAAGTTATTGATATAAACATTATTCAACTCAGTGATGGTAACAGAGAAGATTCAGATAATTTTAGTGCAATAGAGAGTTCTGAAAAAGTTGATATACAGCAACAAAATATATCAGAGGGTAAGGACATGAAGCAATTTAAGTATAATACCACGGCAGATTTGAAAATTCCAATTAGCATCCCAAGTGCAACTTATAACAATTGCATTACAACTAAGCACAATCCAATCGAACTGCAAGATATCTTTGGCTATAGTGAACCCATTGTTGATAGTGATACCACACAAACAAACTCCAAACAACGACAGGAGCCTTCAAGTTTTACTAATATAACTGATTCAGCTTCATTAGCGCAATGGAATAATGATCTTGCTAATATTGCATTCAATAATGGGGGCGAACGCTCGGGGCATGGTCCGCCCCCACCACCTATACCTCCTCATTTTGTTAGAATGCCTGGCTTTTTTCAACCGCTTCCGCTTATTTCATATGAAACCACCATAGAGATACTAATTTTTAAATCACGCCCACCATCACCGCCTCCTCCACCGCCGCGAACCGTTAAACGGGTGCTTGTCCATACTGAAAGTCTGGAGCAAAAAACACAGAACTTTTTGGAAGGTATCTACGACGTATCAACCTCAGACACATCGCTCCGCAATGCAAAACAAAAAATACGAAATATTAAAACCGCTGTGTTAAAATCAACAGATTCTACCAATTATGCGCAAGACACAGTAAAAAAAGCGAAAGCTCGCGATTTTGTACATATATTTAATCCACCAATTAAAAGGAAACCCATATATGAAATTATTGAAGAGGCTGAAAATATGCCTGAGATTGAAGGTGATTATACTGAATCTATTGGTCCCGATTTCAGAGAGTCAAGTGCCGATTGGGAAGTCCGAGATAAAAGTGTTTGCAGTATGGATGATAACTATTCTGGGTATTCCCTGGCTACTCAGCGGCGTGTTGAAAGTAAGTTACCATCAGCAAGAAGAGTTCATGGTATTGTATATACATATATGGTATATCGACCAATGACTTTTAATATTTTAAATAAATGTCTTTTTTTAATAAATGTTTATTGTATTGAATCAAAAATGACTTAGGTAATAATTCGCCACGCCTGGTTGGGTGCTCAGGCTTTATCGAATGACTTTCAATAATATTTAAAAAAAAATTAGATTAAAGAGTAAAGATAGAAGAATAGTTAATAATAGACAAATAGTAGTAAAATGAATTATATATAATGGACAATTACTAAACAACATTTATAAAAATATTTCTGAATTTTATACAAATTTATACGATGTATGTACACTCTCTGAAATTTTTGCGAGGAAAAATGTGTGTTTATATGGAATAGATGCCTTGCGTTCTTATACATGTATGTGTAAATACATTGTACATTAACTGAACATTATGATTACAAATTTTGAAATATACATACATAAATTCCCCTATCTACAAAATTCATTTCATAACCAGTTGATGCGAGCAAATGAATTTATATGCATACATATTATCCATGCATCCTGTATAATAATAATAAGCAACGTTTCGATTTGAAACAGTGCTCTAATTGACAGTGCCCGACTGGAAGACAACCTTTGCAGTTAAAATCAATTGAGCTGCTTAAACCGTGAAAATGAAAATGAGTAATGGGGGTATAATGTTTTGTGTAAATGTATATAATACGTAGATAGCAGCATCTCCGACCCCATAAAGTATATATTCTTTATCAGCATCAATAGCCGAGTCGATCTAGCCATGCCCGTTTATCTGCCCGTCCCTCCGTATGTATGAATGCAAGGGTATCAGATGTTTCCGATGATCGATAACTTCCCCGATTCCTAGTAATCGATCAAAATCGATATCAAAATCGGGGCTTTTGAGCAAATCTCTTGGTTCAAGAGCTAGAGTCACGAACTTGACATGCAGCCTCTAGAATAGTATACAGATATCAAGTATCTTTCATTTTATAGCTATCGCCCACTCCCCGCTCCCCCACAATTTTAATGAAATTGACTTTTTGAGAATATACATATATGCTATAGTACAATAAGATCTACTATTGAAAATGTTATCAAAGCACTAGACTCTAAATGTAAAAATATGAAGCAGCCAAAAAATAAAGATGTGTGCATACTTTACGAAAACCCACATGCTAATTTTGGTGTCTCTCCTAAACAGGATATAGGGCATTGTTATTGACTGTCCTCAATTATGTGGAATCGAGCATTAAAGTACATTTTAATTCTCTAGCTCTTTTAGCTCCGAGACCGATCTGAGATATGCGTTCATAGATTTGAGCAGTCGCTGTTTATACTGATCAAGCTATTTGGGATTGAGATTGTTTTTATATATTATTAGCTGCAATATTTATTTTTAGCTACCATATAACCGGTAGCAATTAAAGACCAAACTATACAGATGAGTAAATTTATGTAAAAGAAGGGCTGCCATTATGTTTAGAATTAAAAAACGCCTTGTTAGTATTGTTGAGTATTGCCGACTTCTAGATTTCGAGTCGTTATTACAAATTCAAATGGTAACCGTATATAAAAGAAATGTTTCACATTGCAATATTCGATTCAAGAAGTTACATGTTAAATTTTGTGACGTTAGTTCTTATTACTCGAGAAATTTGCTAAAAAAACAGAATTTCGATATCGATTTTTATCGATTGCTTAGAAACGGGCGCTGAGATCCTTGCGTTCATAAATATGTCCGGGTGACGAACGGACAGACGATATGGCTAGATCGGCTCGGCTATTGATGCTGATTATGAGTATATATACTTTATACTTTCTGCCTGTTAAATACATTTGCACAAATACATTATACCCTTTTACCAATTTTTAATCGGTTCAGGATATACAAATTCTGCCCTTGTATTATAACACAATAAACCTTTGCTTACCCATCTCCATTATCATAATTTTTCTGTGTTTGTTTATCCTAAATTATTATGTACCACAATGATAACATATTTTTTTTATTTATATTTAACTACCATCAAAGGAAGTAGTAGGTCCAGGGACGATGTTAGGGGCACTTCCTACGATAGTACTTACGATAAACACGTAAGCTACGTAACTGGTGCAAGACGTGATCGAAGTACATTGGATAGAATTGAAGCACGTTCATCCCTCTTAGCTTCCAGTCGAGCTGAGAGTCGTGCAGAAAGTCAAATCAGCCGTAAGCGTGCATCTTCGCATCTAATTGACGATCAGCCTCAACGCTGTATTGAGAAACCTGTGATTATCAAAATGTTGAAAAGTGTACATGTTGAGTGTAAGTTTCCAAATTATAGAAAAATATTATCCAAAATATGTTCTTTATTCATCAAATTTTTTCTAACAGGCGGAGAGACAGCGCACTTTGAAATTCAGTTTAAAGATCAGCCAGGCTTAGTTACATGGCTGAAGGATAACAAGACCTTGGACGATCGTTTAGCGGATCGGATTGTCCAAACAAGTGCTCCAATGAATTCCTATCGCTTGGATATCAAAAATTGCAGGTTATTTACTTTTTATTTCTTTTTTTTTAAATTACCAAAAGCACATATTTTAAATGAGCATAGAGACGATTATCTCTATACATAAAGATGTTTGTCCTGACAGACTGATTGGTGATTAACGCACAGCCCATACCTTAAGAGATAGGAAGCTGAAATTTTCACTGTAGTTACCTTATGTGATGAATGTGCACGTTAAGACGGGGTTTCTGTTAATTCCACCCGCAAGTATGGAAAAATCGCGAAAAACCTTTGTATGACACTTGTTTGTTTACCAGCCGATCGGCCCCAAACTTATTGTTAAGGATATTTGCTCAAATTTATTTGAGACGTGATTCACATTTTTCGCAAAGTCCAAGCTTCATCGGTGAAAAGTGCGATCCTAAGATCGTATTTCGTATTTGGTTCCTTATTCGATGCACTTTAATTATATTTTTAAAAGGAAGTGGAGTTCAAGATTGAATGCGTAGATTTTAATTTTTCACGGGCGTGTACTTAGTGGAAAGGAAATATCTAAAATGTTTAGCACGCAACGCTCCGCAATACCCGCTAGTCTCTATGTAGAAAACTGTTTGTCCTGACTGAGAGATTGGTACTGACGCACAGCCAATACCGTAAATAGGGAGTTGACATTAAAAGTATTAATCATATTTCATTGCATATTTCAATACTCCCTTAACAAAAACTTCATTTCATTAATACATTGTACATATTTGTTCTTGTTTGTTGAACATTTTTAGATAGTACATCGGCAACCATGTCATTAGTACATATATATTTAACATCTTTGGTTAAATCGATGGAACTTAAAAGTCAATATTCCACATCTATTAATACAAGTAAAACATTTCGATTTTAGCAATAGTTGAATTATTTATTATACTCAAAAAAAAAAACAATATATAGACTCGTAGATGCTGAAGGCTAGAATGCTCGAGCTAGAAGATGTTGTACGTACTTTTCGTAATATTGTGCAATTCCGAACTAGTGTAAGCAAACTTATCAAAGTCGAATTTGGATGCCAGATCGGTGCAGTAGCCCCTCCCAACCTTTAAGTTGTGCAACGACCTGGGAGTCTAATTGTGCGGCGAGGCCTTGTAGATTGTTGAAGCAGTATAAGTGTGCTGGGAGTATTCTTGGATGTATCTTGTGGTCAACCTAATGGCGGTGTTGCATCTGAGTTGGTTGTCGCTGCTTGTTGCTGTATTTCAATGAAAACAGATTTGAGGTGATCAGTTGATACTTTGTTACCATGACCATAGACAGTTATGCTAAAAATTTGGTTTGTTTTGAATTTCCTTCAAATGGTCCGTTCTAGAAGTGATCCACATACTGTGTCGTTAGGTAGAAAAACATAAGTTGAATCATCTAATTGCTTGAAAACGAAAAGCTTTGAAGAGTCGTGATTGGCAGTTTGAATTGTTTGGATTTCGCGCATCATCTCTGTTATATCCTTGGCGAAATTAGTTTGCGGTTGAATTGGTTGGAGTTGTAGAAAAATTCTGCAGGAAAACAAAGAGTTGTGCCGTAAACAATCGATGATCGATGATTTCGTTTGCCTGTGAAAGGTAGGCGGTTGTTCGTAAGGCGCGATAGCTCGTTGAATAACCTGGATTCAAATTGTGAAAAGCGGGAAATCCATGTGTTAATGAGTGGCTACTGTTTCAGATTGGATATCCTCGGTAGAAACTGCATCTGGCCACAATATCAAAATTGACCAGATTGAGGTAATGGCCCAATGAGGTCTACATTGATGTATTCAAATCTGCATGAAAGCAAAGTGGTGGAGTGGTGAATGAACGTGGCGCGAGACTTTAGATTTTTGAAAGGAATGCAGTGTTGTACGAAGTGAGTTATATCCTTTTGCATACAAGGCCACACGAAGCGCTGTTTGATGAATTTAGTGGAAGTAGAAAAAACGCACTAGATTGGAGTGCTTGATTGCGGTAACATGATATATTTTATTTGAAGTGTAGTGTTGTTGTCATTAAGTAGCTTTTTATACCCATTGAAAATGGGTAAAAATGTTTTAATGTATCTGTGCAAATGTATGTATCAGGCAGAAGGAAGCATCTCCGACCCCATAAATCGATCTAGCCATGTCCGTCCTCCTTCCGTCCGTGTGTATGAACGCAAGGATCTCAGAATCTATAACAACTAGAGATTGTAATTTGGACCGTAGGTCCACTTTTTTTTGAGAATGCACAAATATTCTATAGCACAATAAGATCTACTTTATAAAATTTCATCAAGATCGGTTAAGCAACACAAAAGTTACTAAAGAAAATGTTTTTTGGCTGGCCGCGAGTTTGGGGCACGTAGCGAAAACTGCAAGAATTTCTGTATGCATGTACACACACACATTCTTAAACTGTTTTTTTTTTTCAAATTTATTTTTATTACTGCTGAGGCAAACGAGCGTGTAGCACGAGCTGAATTTAATGTTGATAGAAGAGGGTTCAGAGTATTCACTGATCGGGAGCACCCGACTAGACCCTCTTACTTGTGTTTTTTTTTCTTCAAAAATTAATTGCTGGTGTGGCAGTTGAGTAGCAGCATTTGTCAGTTGTGGGATCTGTTACGGGCTCGATTCCTATTGAAGAAATTTTTTTTTGAAAATCATTTTTATTTTGGGTAAAGCAAACGAGCTCGTTTCGCGTTCTGCATATGGTGTTGGTAGTAAAGTGTTCAGTCGGGAACTCTCGGCTAGATCCTCTTACTTGTTCTGTCTATTAACGGGAGCAGTGAGCTGTGCCTGCAAAATTAACCTGGCTATATTCCGTGAGGTCGTCGCCTATAATGTCGAATTTTGTATCAGCTTCGGGTTGGTATTCAAAGTCCTCTTGGTTTGTTATCCGATCTTAAATTGTTGATGCTTTGATGTTTTTTTGCTGTATACCTTGCAGTATACCTTGCACTACAGCTGCTTGGGCTTTTATTTACTTGTCCCTGGTTGTTCTAGCATGAGACGAGTTGTCAAAGTCCATTGGCTGGACTTGATCTTGCTTGGGTTGGAATTCCTGTCTTTTATTAATATGAGTATTTTTGCTTATATTTGTATCCCTTTATATTTTTGGACAGGCTCTGCTTAGATTTTTGGATCCTGTCTTCAACACTCGTGAAAATTACTTGTCAACAGGTATCTCTCGTGGTTAATTTCAAACTTATGAGCTAATGCTAATGCGGAAGGATGATCAGACGGTCTTGCGGGCAAAGGACATCGCTTGACGACTCTCTAGTTCCTAAATAAAAATGCTGAAGCGCGTCTACTCTGTATTTTTTCTTTAATAAAGCAGCTATAGTGTTGTAGTTCATGGTAGTCTTGTTTATTAGCAGTCATATTTCCTTAGTGAAGTGTTGACACTTTTTGCTCTACTATGTGTTTGTGTGTTGTGAAATATCTGCAGACGTTGTCGATCTTTCACTTTTACAAATTACAAATTACAAATTAATCGGGCACCTTTTAATAGTCCGATTATATATGCAACTCACTGTAGCGTACTGCGCGTCAGTCTTGGTTACCATATGGTTATACATATTAATCATGAACGTAATAGAGCACCATTTGCATTATTTCAATCGGTACATTTTATAAATATATATGTTAGGGCAACCTCTTTAGTAACTCCCCTGCTTCGTAAAGCGGCCATGTAAATTCTTGAATGTTGTCAAAGTTGTCCTATGTATGTATATGTATGTACACATCAATTTTTATCTGGACCAGGGTATTTGAAAATTGAGCACTAGCTTGTTGTTTTACAAAAATATTGACACCATCATTTTTATATTTCTAGTGAGAATGACGCTGGAACGTATACTGTTCGCGCACAATCAGGCTCTGATACAACGAGTGTGACAGCTCAGCTTGCTGTTGGTCAAGGTGAGTTTTATTAATAAAATAAATGATTGTTTTAGTAAAGGCTTCGTTTAATTTTAACAGCTTCTGGCCATGACGAATCTAAAACTAATGTGTCACCAGCATTTCTAGTTAGCTTAAAGGATGCTGAAATGATTGAAAACACTCTGTTTCGTTTCATGATAAAAATTCTAGGCGATCCAAAACCAAAAGTACAGTTGTAAGTATAAAAATAATAATAAGAGATTTCAAGACACCAATGTGAGACGAATCGGTCGTCAAATTGTCCATTAATGTGAAATTTAGTCCAAAACTTACAGTGTTTAAGTAATAGTAATAATCAATTTCATTCCATATTATTTTTATTCCTTGAACCCAAAGAAAATGGTTAAAAAAGGTATATATTATACCAGACATTGTAACAGACAGAAGGAAGCATTTTTGACAACAAAGTGCACTATTCTTGATAATCATTAGCAGTCTGTCCGTATTTATGAACGCGGCGATCTGAAAACTTATAAGAGCTATCAAAATCCTTTACTTTACTTCTGCGCCAATTGTCCGTTCGGTCTGTCTTCCAGTTATTCCCGAAATCTAAATGAAATTAGTGCGCAAAAGGGTTGTTCTGTCAACTAATTTAGATCTAAATCTAAATCAGTTTCAGGAATCCCACCATCATTATACCCTTGCAGAGGGTATTATAATTTTTTGTCGTGAAATGTGTAACGCATAGAAGGAGACATCTCCGACCCCATAAAGTATATATATTCTTGATCAGCATCAACGGCGGAGTCGATAGAGCCATGTCCGTCTGTCTGTTTCTATGCGAACTAGTCCCTCAGTTTTAAAGCTATCTTAATGCAACTTTGCAGAAGTGGCTCTTTCCGTTGCACGCAGCACATATGTGAAAATCAGCTGGATCGGACCACTATATCATATAGCTGCCATAGGAACGATCGGTCGAAAATTAAGTTTTTGTATGAAAAAACATTTTGTTAATCAAGATATCTTGACTAAACTCGGCATTTATTAGTTATACTATGCTCTTCATATATATGCAAAATCCTATTAAGATCGGACCACTATATCATATAGCTGCCATAGGAACGATCAGTCGAAAACTAGGTTTTTGATTAAAAACCTTTTTTGTTTATCAAGATATCTTGACCAAACTCAGCATTAACTATTTTCCCTGTGCTTCTTAGATACGGGCAAAGCACTATAAGCATTATGAAAAGGTGGGGTCTGCAAGGGTATTAGATCTTCGGCTTAGCTTAGATAGCCTTTCTTTCTCGTTTTGATTTAACGCAAGCTATTATGGAACGCCTTAGCAGTATGCCACTAATTTTGTTTTCATTTCATATGCTATAAGTTAATTTTTCACTGTTTCCTGGAATCCACGTTACTCGGACTGAATCTTTTTTCCGATTGTGTTGAGTGCTTTTATGAGTTTATTTTCTTAGAAGAAATGGATTAAATAGCCGCCTGGCTGAGTAGATCTCTATGTAGGCTCTGCACTAATATACAAGCGCTTGGACAACTGCCTAACTGTTGATAGTGATGGCAAGAAGGGGGAAACGACAAAGTCTAACCGAAATGAAATTGTACTGACAATTTATTTTTGACTATAGTTAGTATTCGCAGAAGCACTAAATCGCAAAAATAATAAGTATATGCTTAGCTACTTTACATATGTGCCAAGAATTGATAGCGTTGGCTTCATTAGCGCAACCAAGCCAATGGAGTTGGGCTTTTGATTCCGGACGTTCTAGCTACTTTCCTTGAAATCTTCTGATGGCAGCAGGACAGATAATTATTTAGTTGGTCTAGGCCGATGCCATTTAATTTGCATTTTTATTTTAAATTTACTCGCGAGCCACGAATAGTTGCACTTTACCACTTGAGCTTATTCACAAATTGTCTTTTAAATTGTTCACCCGGGTGCCCCATGTAAATTTATATGTTTTCAAATAAAACTAAACAAAAACATTGTGGCTTGAAAGAAAAATTTATGCGCTTCTTGCTGATGGGTTACTTATAATTTGACAACTGACCTCATAAATTTCTTAAGCCTAAGCATTAGTCTAAGGCAGCGAGGCGAGGCGAATACGCTCCCAGAGCAAGTAACAAAGTTTTATTGCGCTCTCGCCCCGCCCTAAGCCTAACTTACTCTAGACTTCAACTTTTAATATATCTTACTAATCAAGGTGTGGATCTGACCCAACGACATTCTTAAAGAAGGGAAGTGTCATAGACACTTATAATAACGGCTTCAATTAATCATTCGCTAAACTTATCACTTTGATTATATCCGACCCTATACTGACAAAACCCAACTTTAGTTGAGTGTCTGTTTAAACGACTGACTCAGTAATGGTAGCATATTATAAAATAATACTTTTTCGGAAATCCAACAGCTATTTTAATAGAAAGTGAAGAAGACTTCGCTCTGTTATATTACTTATTGCCTCAAAAAATAGGAATAATGTTAATAATGGGCAAAGTAAGCATAGCTCATTTTACTAAATAGAATCGCTCTTTCATTGGTTTTGTCAAAAAGAGGAATTTCATAGTCAGATTAACTGAAGCAATGCTCAATCGACTCCAAAAGTCTACTATTCAAGTGCTCCCCTTATGTCCGATAATTTTGACAAAGCCACAACGATTGGCATACCTGTTGGTTAAGTATTATCACCACAGGTACCAGCACCTGCAACGAAATCATCGTAAATGAATTGTGTCAACGGTACTTGGTTTGGGGCTTACGAGCTTCGATGAGAGAAGCTTCGCATACGACGCGCCCGCTCAAAGCCTTCAGAGATGAACGACCTGCCAATCGAACGATTATCGCCCCATACTCCACAGTTCATATATACTGGACTGGATTACTTTAGACCTTACGTCATTATCGTTGGGAGGCCTAGCACGAAGTGCTGAAACGTGGTAATTACATGGCTCAAGGTGCGGGCCGTGCACCCCGATATAGCTAAGTCGTTCGTGGCCAGACGCGTCTGCCCCCGCCGTAAGCTGTCGACAGAGGCACTGGCAATTTACTAAAAAATTAAACTGAACGCATATTACCTGCGCTGATCGAGTGACAGTTCACGAAAGTGAAGTTCATCTTTATTCCGCCAGGATCTCCCCACATGCGAGGATCGACGGAACGAATGGTACGCTCTACAAAGTCAATATTGTCCGAAATAAGCTGATGTAGAAAGCGCGCTCAACTCTAGCCCACTCACTTGTATTCTATTGGAGTCCTCTAAATTCGAAGCCCTGACTCCGAATCATTTTCTTATAGGTTCAAAGGATGGCCAGGTCCGAAGCACCGTGTTGCGAATCGCCGTTGGAATTATTACAGGCTCCGCTGCTCAGCTAGCTAAGCTTGACATTAAAGTTGGTAGTATACTGCACGGGCGTTCGTGAATTCCAGGAATGTTACAGGGCGAAGTGAACATAGCTGTTGTCACTAAGTCCCACAGGCTCTCACACTTTTATTCCCTGAAAACATTATAAATGGGTAAAATGTTTTTGTGCAAATGTATGTAACAGGCAGAAGGAAGCATCTCCGACCCGATAAAGTGCATATATTCTTGATCAGTATCAACAGCCGAGTTGATTTAGCCGAGTCTGTTTGTCTGTCCGTCTATCCGTCAGTCCGTATGTATGAACGCAAGCCTCTTAGAACCTACAAGAGCTAGAGACTGAAATTTTAGCTGTAGGTCCTTCTAGTCAATGCACAGATTGAATTTGCTTCCGATAATCGATAGCATACTCCGTTTCCAAGCAATCGATATCGAAATCCTGTTTTTTGAGCAAATATACCCAGTTTCGAGCTAAAGTCATCAAACTTGATATATTAATTCTAGAATATTATATATATATCAAGTATCTTTCATTTTATACCTATCGCCACCTCCCCACTACCACCGCAGAGCTATAAATCAAGTTAATAATCCCACTAACATTGCCCACCAATTTAAGCCACAATTTTAATGCAATTGACTTTTTGAGAAAACACAAATATACTATGATACAATAAAATATACTGAATAAAATTTCATTTGGATCGGTTAAGAATAAACTAAAGTTATGTTTTACTGCGCGATTGGATGGGGCAGCTAGCGCAAATTGCAAGAGTTTCTGTTTACATGTACACACACACATCCATGTACGTCTGCTTCGTATTCTATCAACAGCATTGCAATTGCGATTGTTTTCTGTGCTGCTATTTGCAATTGTTGTTAATTGTTTTTTTTTCTCAATAATAATTAATTATTGGTGTGGATGTTGAGTAGAGTCGTCAGCAAGTAATGAGGTCAGTTGCGAGTTCAAACCCTGCCAAGGGAACTTTTTTATTTAATTTATCGTTGCGCGAACTGCATTTGGTGTTTGAATAAGAGGGTTCAGGGAATTCCCTAGTCGGGAGCTCCCGACTAGAACCTCTTACCTGTTTTTGTTAGCAGCGCTCGCTCCATAAACTGGCATCGCACCATTAGCATTATTTGCCTTTTCGTAATGGTTAACTTTTGTTTTGATTATGCAGCTTAGTAGACATCAAGTAAAAGAGAATATAAGCGCGTGCGGAGCTTGAATGTAGATCTCATAAGTTTGTTAATTATTTGATGCTGCAAAATAATAGAAAACTAATAACGATTTTAGCGTACCTACCTCACCATACCATATGCTGAAATGTAGTAAAAACCTACTAAAAGACAATATTTTCTGAGATAAGACATAAAACATGATATTGAGCTAGCAAAGATAAATAACACAATGTGAACATTCAAACAAAAATATTGGAACCCTTATTTCGCTTGAGAAATACGGAATATTATAAACCAATGCGTTATTTACAATACAATAAAACACACCCAATAAACCCACCGACTTTTTTAATGTCCCTGAATGTGAAAATATCAGATATACGAACATGTCGTATAATACTGGGAGTATTCCGAAAAATGGTATAGGTAGGGAAAACCAGAGACATTACTTAGATTGAATTCAATCGAAATTTTTTAAAAAACTTCGACTCGATTAATCCACATAAAAATATGACTAAGATACTCCCCGCTTTATTAAACCTTTTTAACCCCAAGTGAAGGGACTTTACCTTATTAAGAGAAACAAGCGCGGTATAATTATTTATTTATTTATAAATGATCGACTAAATGAGCGTAAGCCTAATTATTTAATACATAAGAGTATAAAAACTAA